AACACGTTAAGCCAAAATTAGATTTGCCTATGCTAAGCAACTAGAAGGTTTGATAAGCGCCAACAATGCTGGATTTTGCAAAGCTAGAGCTCCTTCTAGAATCCTTACAAATGTTCACAAAAAAAGCCAACTCTTAACGAATTGATGAAGTCAAATCAGCCACATTAAAAGTAGAACTTATATTATACTCACCTCTGAGATCTAACTTGTATGCATTGTCATTGATCCGCTCTAGTACTTGAAAAGAACCATCTCCTCTTGATTTAAGTTTAGACTTTCTCTGATTTGGAAACCTTTCCTTTCTAGATGAACCCAAACCGAGTCACCTTGTTTAAAAATCAATTTCTTTCTTCCTTGGTTCTTGTGCGTGACTAGTTTTTTATTTTTGTTTTCAATTCTTTCTTTTATGTCTTTGTGAATTTTTTTTTTTTTATGTATTCGGCTATTGAAGAAGCTGCATCATTAGTAAACATATTAGGTGGCAAAGGTGATAAATCTAGAGAAGTTAAAAGATTAAATCCATACACAACCTCAAAAGGTAAACAATGAGTGATGCTATGTATTGCTCTATTGTGTGCAAATTCAACAAAAGATATGGTCTCTTCCCAAGACTTAAGATTTTTTGAAAATTAGTGACCTAAGTAACGCTCCTCATGTTTTATTAACAACCTCAGTTTGTCAATTAGTTCTGGGTGACAAGTTGTAGAAAATAGAAGCTTAGCTCCCAACTTTCCCCACAAAACTTTTCAAAAATGGCTTAAAAATTTTAAATCCCTATCACTAACAATGATTTTGGGAATACCATGCAATCTAACCACTTCCCTAAAGAATAGATTAGCAATGTTGGTAGCATCATTTGTTGGTTACCTAGAATGAAATGTGCATCTTACTAAACCTATCAACTACCACAAAAATGCTATCATGGTGTCTTCTAGTTTTCAGTAATCCTAGAACAAAATTCATGCTAATGTCAATCCATGGTTCACTAGGAACATGTAAAGGTGTGTAAAGACCATGTGGTTGCGCCTTAGACTTAGCCTCTTACATTTAAAACATTGCCGGCATACTTTGTGTTCACATCTTTCCTCATTTTCAACCAATAAAAATGTTCACACAACATGCTATATATTTTAAATTCTCCAAAATGTCCCATAAGTCCTCCCTCATGAGCCTCCTTCACAAGTAACTCTCGAATATAACACATAGGGATACAAAGTTTACCCTTCCTAAAAAGCATATCATCGAACACAATATGATCTTGCACATGTTTTCCTTCTAAACATTGCATATACACATCATAAAATTCAGATTTTTCAACTTTATACAATTCAACCATGTGTTTAAAACCAAGAATTTTTGCAGTAAGGGATGAAAATAAAGCATACCTTCTTGATAATGCATCTGCGACCACATTATCCTTCCACTTTTTGTAATGGATTACATAAGGAAATGTCTCAATGAATTCTACCCATTTAGCATGTCTCCTATTTAGTTTTGTTTGGCTTTTGAGGTGCTTCAAACTTTCATGATCCGTATGAATAACAAACTCTTTTGGCCACAAATAATGTTGCCAAACTTGCAAAGCCCTCACAAGTGCATATAGCTCTTTGTCATAAGTCGGATAGTTGAGTCGTGCTCCATTAAACTTTTCACTCAAGAACATGATTGGCCTTTTTTCCTGCATTAAAACAACTTTTATGTCTATCCCACTTGCATCACATTCAATTTCAAAAGATTTATCAAAGTTAGGTAAAGCAAGACAAGGTGCATTGGTTAATTTATCTTTTAGTTCATTGAATGCATTCTCTTGTTTTTCCTTCCATTCAAATTTTACATGCTTTTTAACAAGTTCATTCAGTGGTGTGATGCTATGCTACTGAAATTCTTAATGAATCTCCTATAGAAACTAGCCAAACCATGAAAAGATCTTACCTCGGTTGCATTTGTGGGTGTTGCCCATTCTCTAATAGCCTTTACCTTTTCTTCATCAACTTGTACTCCATTCTTTCCAAATAAGAACCCTAGGAAGTTGACTTGGTCTAGACAAAAACAGCACCTTTTGAAGTTGGCATAAAGCTTCTCTTCTCTAAGTTTAAACAAAATTTCTTAATGTCACACAAATAATGAGAGGAAAAATTGTACAAGATAGTATGGAGAAAATTCTAATATATATTTTTTATAGTCTTTTTTATTTGTAATTAGTGATGTAATAGAAAGTTGGTGACATTTTATTTGCAAAGATGTCACACAAATAATGAGAGGCAAAATTGTTTGTCATATTTGTAACTAGAGAATGTGTAAGTGTTTTTCTTCCTTCTCTATCATAAAGTTGTGCATAGTGTCACAACCATACTATGAAGAGAGTAGGTTGTGACCCTCACGCAATGACAAAGCAAAGAGGCGTCCCTCAAGTGACGCCATCTGGCCACATGCGGGCCAATATAGAAGAGTGCCATGATGCGTTCGAGGAGGACGATGCATCATCCAACACACCACCACGCAAAGTAGGCATTGAAGACAAGTTGAGACATAAGCAATACAGAGACATCAGACTAGACATGAAGGACAAAGATATGCTTGTTGAAGGGTCGGGTAGGGCCCCGGACCTTAACCTCAAAAGTCGGGGTTTCAGATGAAATTTAGGCATGCGGTTCGGGAGTTAAGTCTGTCCATATGAAATATGAATGCTTGCCAAGTTTGGTGTCAATCGGACCCCGGACGGACAATGCACGACACCGTAAGACCGTTCACCAAAATCATGTCTACGCCTGGAAGAATGAAAATGGCTCAAAATGTACTATAGGGGTACCATGGTGTTAGCTCTCCACCACCTCTGTGCCCTGTGGCCTAAATGAGCTACCCATTGGCACATACGTGTGTCATAGTGTGGGCGAGCGTGCCGAGACGAGTGTCTCGGGTGACTTCCTTTGAAATGGATTTTTAAAGGACAGTACCAAACGACACGGGTGTGCCAGTATTGGCCCTAGCCTGTGTGTTGGAGGTTGCTACATACACCCGCTATCCGGTACGGTATCCATATATGACACGGCATGGGCACGGGAGGTTCAATGCCTCAATAGAACCTAGATGGATGGATGTTCGGAAGTCTCGATGAGATGAAAGACACGCGGGCCCATTCTTGATGGTATGACCGAGGAGTTATGATGGCCGACGACATCCTGAGACTCGGGATGGCGTCAAGACATATGGACCCTATCGATGGGGACCAAGATGGCAAGGTGAGATGCGACATTGCATTGAGAGACCTTGGCCCGAGCAGAGCCAAGGTCGAGTCGAATGACTTGGTCTAATGTAGAGGCAAGTTGGATGTGTCGCAGACGATTGAACATGCACGCGCAGGCAACGTGTGTGCTTGAACAACCTTGAATTTTGCACAAGCGATATTCGATTCGCAAAGACAAACCTCGCCTAAGGTCCGACGAAGCCACAAAGCAGGGGCAAAAAATATATATTGGGGCTTAATTCCCCTTAAGGCTAGTCGTGAGCGTGTCAAGATCACGAGGCCGCATGGTGAAAAATGTAGGACTGTGACACATAGCTCTAGAGTCGACCATTATGCTCTTGGCCGGTCTATGGTTTAACCTAGTCCTCAATGTACACAAGACCTTGTTCTGTTGACTCTTTTGTCTCTCTCACTCTTTTCTGGAAAGAAAATAAGTACTTTAAGGCCCCTAATGCAAGGTTTTCAATTCTTTGCCTTGGAAGGCACAAAGATCCACTATTTGTGGGTATTCAGATTCTCAATAGACCACGTGTATATGAAGTAGGACGAGGATCATTGACTGTAGTTTCTGGTTGTGAAGTCCTTGTCATGGATTTCTACCTCTCTTTTTTAAGGATTCATTGATATGAATCAAACAACTGATCACTTCCATGTACCCGAACAAGCAATTACAAGAAGCAATACAAAGAAGATTCAAGTATCAAATCAAGAAAATAATGGAGTGGCTGACATTGGAAAGTGATTAGAAGACTTGTCATTGGTAGTTCAACTACCAATTAAGACAATTTATGAATGCCTTATTTTCTTCAATTTGTATTTAAGAGCATTTATTAATAGTTTGTATGAATGCCTTATTTTCTTCAATTTGTATTTAATAGCATTTATTAGTGATTTATGGTTAGTTGCTGAACTTTATTATGTTAGGGTTATCTTTTGGGCCTATTTAAAGGCATGTAATATTCATGTATGGGATGAATTGTTGAATACAAACAAAACCTTTGTGTTTTCTTGATACCCTTTTGGTGTTATTCTTTTTCAAACCTTGCTTTAGGTTTGATGTTTAAACCGATTCATTGAATTAGTTTTGATCAAGCTAATTCGGGAGTGAATTGTCTTGGTATCTAAGAGTGACCATCATAGATTCCAAGTTCGATCTAAGAGTCATTCATCTTCTAACCAACTCTTGGTTGGAATCAATCTGTTAAGTTAGTTTTCTCTGCGAACGTTTTGCAAGAATTATAGAAGGACCTCTAGCTTTGCAAATTTCAGCATTGTAGGCCCTTATCATTCATAGTCCACTCATACAGTTGAGATATGTTTCAAAGTAGTTGAGATATGATTCAAAGTAGTTGAGATATGATTCGAAGTATTCAAAATTAATATGATTTAAAGTAGTTGAGATATGATTCAAAGTATTCAAAGTACCAAGATTTTGATTTTAGGAGATTGCAAGTAGATTTGTAAGTAGATCCATAGTTTACTATTTCTGTGGGTGTATAACCCTATAAATATTGGAATTGTGTACCTCTAATCAATTGAGTCAGAAAATAATAATAAAACACTGCAGCTTTGATCTATTCCTATCTTTTTCAATATCCCTTCCCCCAGCAAATTTGGTATTAGAGCCAAGTTCTCGGCAACACGAGAGTGAGTGATTATTTTTCACAAAATGAAAATGACAGTAGCTGGTTTTTCTTTCTTTGCACCACTGTTACCAATTTTTAATTGTGAGAAATATTAGTGGTGAAGCATCAAGATGAAGACCTTGCTCACATCGCAGGAGCTTTGGGACTTGGTGGAGCACGGGTTCGTTGGTGTATTAGAACCCGCAATAGAAGAAAAGAAGAGACTAAGAGAAACCAAGAAAAATGATGCCAACGCTCTGTTCATTATTCAGCAAGCAATTCATGTGACTATTTTTTCACGAATTACAGCAGTAACCACATCAAAGCAAGCATGGTCAATTCTACAGAGGAAGTTTCAGAGAGATTCAAAGGTCATAACAGTGAAATTGCAATCTCTAAGACGTGATTTTGAAACTCTGCTCATGACGAATGACGAATCAATTGCTTATTTTTTGTCAAGAACAATGAAAATAGTCAGTCAGATGCATACCTATGTTAAGAAAATTTTAGATGAAACAATTGTTGCAAAGGTGTTGAGAAGCTCAACTCCAAAGTTTGACCATGTGGTGGCTGCCACAGAAGAAACTAAGGATTTATCAATACTCTCCATTGATGAACTGATGGGCTCACTTCAATCTCATGAGGCAAGAATCAATAGATCATCAGAAAGGAATGGAAAAGACACTTGGTAATGGAAAAGGCACTACAAGTGAAGGAGACAACCGACAAAGAAGGCAACGAAAAAGAAAATATTCATTTAGCAAATAGAAGTCGTGGAAGAGGAGAATTTCGCAGCTTTCATGGTGGTCATGATAATAGGGATAGATAGAGAAATGATGGACAAAGGCAATTCAATGAACAAAGGAATATCATACAATGTTACCATTGCAGAAGGTATGGGCACACAAAAGCTAATTGTTGGTATAAAGATCAATGAATGAATTTTGCAGTAGAAGAAGAAGAAAAGCTTTTTATGGCATGCACTGATATTAATCCAAAGAAAGGTGACTTATGGTTTGTTGATAGCGGATGCTCAAACCATGTGACTGGTACCAAATCTTTATTCCAAGAGCTTGACGAGACGCAAAGAATTAAGGCGCAACTTGAAAATACAAAAGAGATACAAGTTGAGGGTAAAGGCACAGTAAAAGTCGAAACCAGTCATGGTAAGATAAAACTATTAGATAATGATCCAAAAGAGATGACAGTTAAAGAGATTACAGTTGAAGTTTCTCCAGATGAAGAGACAAGGGTCAACTCCAGTACATCTCCTATTGCCTCCACTGTAACACAAAATCTACTCCAGTACATCTTCTAGTGCCTCCACTGCAACACAAAATCTATCAAATTCATCATCTTCAGCATCACTAAGTAGCAACTCTTCTCTTGAAGAATTTTCGGATAAGACACCTCCAAAGAAATATAAATCTTTAGCTGACATATATGCATCATGTCAATTTTCTCTTACTATTTCAGACCCTATGAGTTATGAAAAAGCAGGTGAAAAAAAGAGTGGAAGAAAGCCATGGTAGAAGAGTGCAGTCCATTGAGAAAGTCATAGTGGAACATGGGATATGGATGACTGGCCAAACGAAAAGTTTTATGGAGATTTATATGAGACATGGAGCCCATTGTAGTGGCCTGTTGATTAGTTTGATGAAAATTTACAAGTAGTATATGTAACACAACTAGAGGGATTCATAAAAAAAGACAAAGAAACAAAGGTGTACAAGCTGAGACAGACATTATACGGGTTAAAAGCAGACATACTTACTAAGGTTTTGTCAAAAGAAAAGTTCTGCAAATTCGGACGATTACTTGACATCTGCAACTTTGAATCAAGGGGGAGTGTTGAGATATGATTCGAACTAGTTGAGATATAATTCAAAGTATTCAAATTTGAGATATGATTTAAAGTAGGAGATATAATAAAAAGTATTCAAAATTGAAATATGATTTAAAGTAGTTGAGATATGATTCAAAGTATTCAAAGTATCAAGATTTTAGGAGATTGGTAGTAAATTTGAATTTAAGTATGATTTCCATAATTTACTATTTCTAATTAGTGTATAAGCTATAAATATTGGAATTGTGTAACTCTCGAAGCAATAATAGAGCACTGCATCTTTGATCTATTGCTATCTCTTTCAATAACCCTTTCCCCAACACACTCCTTCACCCATTGTTAGAATTTATGCTCTAAAGTCTTATAATTAATTATTTAATAATTATTTTATTCACAATTTTCTATTATCCCTTGTATGGAAAATCAAAGGTGTCACGATATGAATTTTAAGATTTCGAAACTCGGATCGAAAGTAAAAAGACGAAAGCGAAGATAAATAAAAATATAGGTAAAATAAAATAAAATAAGAAAATGCAGTAAAATTAAAATGAAATTAAGTTAAACAATACCACGTTAAAATACAATTACACGACTTTAGATTTATTACAAAGGGAAAATGGATTTGAATACAACTAAAAAATGAAATACGGAAGATTGAAAAAGAAAGAAAGACTGAAGTTCCACAACGACCCCCTCTCTGACTGCATAACTCTCGAGCACTCCTCTACCTTGACTCGCAACCTGCATACACTTGAAAAAGAAAGGAAAATGGGGGTGAATTTATAAATATACATAGTAAGTATCTTGTTTGTAGGAACAATTTATGTAGTGTAACCAATCTTCGATCTCTACCAATTGATTAGTCCGAGACTTGCCTAGTTGTTTTGCAGCAGACATGTTTATGTACTACGATTCAAGGAGTCAACATGGCTCTAATACCACTTATTACAATCGCACTCTTGTGGAGCGGGATAGAGATTTTACGACACTTATTCTAACCCGATGAACTAGTCAGAAGTATGAAAATCGTAAGTCGTAGACAATTCAGACGTTTGATCGAGTCTTGGCCATGTTTGAAAGAAAGTGTTTTAGAAAGAAAATGTAAGCATATAACCCGAGTAGGAAAAATTGACGACTAGTTTCATCACTTTATAGTATATTTTGGAGCATTTTAACCCTGGCGGGTGTAAACATGATTTTGTTGACAGGTCATGCCCCCGTACTAACACAAGAAGAATAGTGAATGTCTATCTAACACAAAAGCAAGTAACAGGATTTGAACGGACTTGCTGTAGGGACAATAAGTTCTAGACAAACATCACTAGGACATCTGACACGCGATCGTAAGCAACACGCCTTGGGCAAGCATGACTGTGACACCTTGCAACTTGACTTAAGCTCACCTTGCCTTGACAAGGTGTGTAAGTTGTAAGGTTAGTAGGCATGATCTCACTCCTTATGCACCTTGCCTTGACAAGGTGTGTAAGTTGTAAGGTTGGTATCATAATGTTATTGTAAGGTAGAGTCTAGTTAAGGAACAAAAAATATATCAAATGAGACTTAAAGAACAAGAAGTAACTTCAGGGGTAAAACGGTAAATTGACCCAGCTCACATACGATACAGCTCACATCATCATAACTCATACATCATCATATACTAGTATACGACATCATACGATACCTCTCATATATCATCATAACTCATATCTCATCATAGCTCATACATCATAAATTGTAACTCATATGATACCACTTACTTGGTTGGCCTTAGCCGGTGTTCTCCCTAAACTCGAGTGTGTTTGAATTTCGTCTTTCGAAGTTGCTCCAAGTAGTCGAGGACTTCAAAATGGGCATGTGTGACACGTGTTGCTTTGGGAAAGGAGATGTGTGGGTGTGGTATTCATGTTTGACACGTGGACGCGTTTGGGTCGGGTTGCTGTCGGCATCCTTGGGTGCGCGAGACATATGTTGGGCTAGGCTGATTGAATGGATGGGTTTCACATTTGACTGTAGAGGTGGATCGTCATGTCTGCATGAGCAATATGTGGCGACGCGTCGCGGACTTTAGAATGGGCATGTGTGACACGTGTTGCTTGGGAAGAAGAGACGCATGCGTGGGGTCTTTATGTGCGACACGCCGACGCATGTGGGTTGGGTTGCTGTCGAACCGCATTCTCTAGAGTTGCCTGTTATTGTGCCAATTTGTTGCACTTGAGCCTAAGAACATGGATTGGGTTGCCCATTGTGATAACGGGTTGACCAACCCAAATCTGGATCTAAGGTTATATTATCTTCTTTACCCTATACCCTACTACGCGAGAAACCTTAAAATTTTACGAGTTTGATCTCTCTTTTTCCGCCATATCCCAGCCTCTGTAAACCCTTCTTTCTTTTTCGGTACCCTCCTTCTCCCTTTGTACTTATTAAGGTTTGAACGCACAAAGGGTTATTCTAGCAACCAGTCCATCCTCTTGGCCGACAATGCTATGACACCGTTGTAGTAGTAAATTGATCGTGTGCATCAAGGTGTTCCATAACTCGTTAGTCCTTTCTTCCATGGCATTGCACCTCGTTTATATACCTGAAGTAAGGGGATTTTCGTCTCACTACGGAGTAAACCGTTCATATTTCGTTGTTTCCTTTCTATTTATCACCTATATTTTTCTTGCTGGTGAGCTCATGACAAGTAGTCGTGCGTGGGGAACGTCTGGGTTCGATTTGTCTTCGCTGATTTGCATTCATCGAACCGACACACCTTTGGCGTTAGTTTTCTTCCTTGTGTTGATGATGAAAGTTCTAATTTAGGGAATTTTTCTTTCCTGTGTTTGATGATGAAAATCTCACTTCAACTAATTCTCTTTAGAGAATGATCATGATTTTTAAACAGAGAACACTCTCCTTATTGGTATTAGGCCTTTTGGGAAGTCCAAACCAAAGTCATGAGAGGTTATTGGTATGAGGCCTTTTGGGCTTCCCAAAATCAAAGTCATGAGAGGTTATTGGTATGAGGCCTTTCGGGCTTCCCAAAAACAAAGTCATGAGAGGTTATTGGTATGAAGCCATTTAGGAAGCCCAAAGCAAAGTTATGAGAGGTTATGAGAGGTTATTAGTATGAGGCCTTTTGGGAAGCCCAAATCAAACCCATGTGAGAGATTATTGGTATGAGGCCTTTTGGTAAGCCCAAACTCAAACCCATGTTAAAGGTTATTGGTATGAGTCTCTTGGGAAGTCTAAATCAAAGCCATGTGAGAGGTTATTGGTACGAGGCCTTTTAGGAAGCACAAAGCATGAGAGGTTATGCTCATAGTGGACAATATCATACCATGGTGGAGAGTCGTATTCGTCTAACACCCTGTACATTTATGTTCCTATTATTCATAAATGACAGAAGGTTTTGGGGTGTTTTCGAGCATTGAGGGGGCATGGTGTCGTGGGTTAGCTGGAGACACGCAATTTGCGGTGACTCACCAGAAATCTTGCCTTTTCGGGCGACCATTATTTTTTTTTCGAACCCAACTGCGAGTCGAGCCAGCTGCACCATGACTCCCTCGGTAACTACAGCTATGTTGGCTTGCTTGAAATCTTTTTGTACCCTTACTTCTACTTTAATGAGGGATGACGAGTCAGCCATCTTTCTACTTAGGGTATTTGCGACCATATTTGCTTTTTCAAGGTGGTATTGGATATCTATATCGTAGATCTTCACCAATTTTAACCACCTTCTCTGCCTCATATTTAACTCTTTTTAGTAAAGAAATATTTTAAACTCTTATGGTCGGTGAAAATTTGGGTTCTCTCTCCATACACGTAGTTTTGTACTTTTCCTCTTGCTTCACATAACAACATGGCATAAGTCTTCTCATCAAATTTCAGGTAAACACTAAGGTTGAAATTTTTTAAATATTAACCAACCTTAATTTCAAATTTCTCACTTTCTTGAAGACTTGCTTCCTTTCGCTAACTAGACAATATTTAATCATTTTTTTTCCATTTCATTGCCATAAAAGGAACTTTCATCTTCGAGAGTGTAAAATTCGTATCATAAATTCGGGTACTTTTCTTTTATCTTATCTCATGTTCCAACGTGATCTCCTTCATATACTGGTTTCATCTCAGTATTTTGACGAAGGCAATCTCTTTCTTGCAAAGGCTTTCTGATAAGATAAGGAATCACTACAAGGAGAGTAAGATTCAGATTACCTTGTTGATCGAATATCTCAAGTCAAGAACATTGTTTGAAATTCGAATCACTCCACAAGCAAGATCGATCATGTCTAGCTTGAATGATTCTTGATGACCAAATATCTCAAGTCGCTTGAATGATTCTACATGCCACCTAAACTATATAGAATTGCAAAGAAACTTAGTCATTAACTAAAGAGAACACAAATGCTTCTTTTACTATATTTTTCAAGTCTACTTACAAATGCAACATACATGGTTTTATATAGCCTCAAAATGAAACTATTAAA